AACAAGAGCTTCCTTCAGTATATACTTTTTTAAACTTATTCTTTGACTACTGACAAATTATCAAATATTTGATAATTAATTTATATAATCAACAACTGTTATCACTTAATATTAAAATGATTGGTTCAAATGTGGGACAAGAGGCAAAATAGTCACTGAATCCAGTGGCCAATGGCCAACAGAATCAAAGCAAGAATTTCCAAAGTTCAAAACATTATAAATTATTCATTGAAGATCTAATTAGAACCCTTAAGCTAGAACCTGGTAAAATTTCAATACATTCTGACAAAGATTCTTTAATCCTTTTGCCCTATATAGAGAGTGAGAGTAACACCACATCCCAGCCCTGTTAAATATTTTAAACATTCAAACCCAAAAGCAATGAGATCGATCATTAGGATGATAATAACTTACAGAGGCTAACATCTCTGAGTGCTTACTGTGTGTCTGGCACTATTCTAATTGCTTCACATGTAGTCATTTAATCTGCAAAACAATCTAACAATTATCTCCATTTTACAGAAGTTAGAAAGGCAGTTTGCACAGCGGTTAAAAGCAAAGACGCTGGAGCCACACTGTCTTGGTTTGAAACTTGGTCCCACCCCTCACCAGCTCATCCATAAAGGGGTAGTAATTATACTATCTACCTTATAGGGTTTGCTACGGGGTTTAAACACATTAATAAAAACAAAGAGTCTTGAAGAATGTCTAGTATGTATGAAATGCTGCCTAAGTGTTAACCCTCAGTATTATTACAGAAAAGGAAGATGGACACAGGAGAGTTAACTTGCCCAAGGTGATGGTGGCAGAGCCAGGAAAAGGACACAGGTAGTCTGGCCCTGGAGGCAGCATCCCTAAATTTCATGCCTAACATTTATGGAAACTCTCCTATGTGCCAGGATTGCAACTTTTTTTAAAAATGTTGTTTCATTTCAATCTCACAGCTCCACGTTACAGAGATAAAAAACATGCATGCTAGGCACTGCTTAGCATAGTGGGGGCACCACAAGGACAAAGACTAAGACATCCAACAGGAACTTACAGGTTTAGAGCTGCTAAGGAACTTGCCCTTAAGGAAGAAGGGCTGGGATGCAAACCCAAGTCTGAAACTTTCTTCACTCCGCCTACATGTCACAGCATTAAAACAGGGAGTTTCTTAGGCAGAAAAGATATTTTCAGTGAGAGAAAAAAGAAAGGAGCCAATGGGTGAGGGAAGATTATCACTCTCTGGTAGGTGGGAGGCCTAGGTACAATAAGGCCCCTGTCTCTCTGGGGTTAGTGACCGCCTTAACCCTTTTATACCCAAAGTTTTCAACAACCTAGAGGCATTTTCCCCAAAGTAACATATTTATCAAGTATCGGGGGAGGGAGCAGTAAGGAATGAGAAAGCGATTTCTATTTAACTTGCTTAAAATCATTTCAATACTCTGAAGTGAAGATTGAAGTAATCTGAAATACTTACCATGGAGTCTGGCATATAGATAGATGGTTAAGCAATTATATGTAATACATCAATCAAATAAATCGCATGTATAAATTATACACATAGGTACATATCCATGAGCATACACATTTATTTCTAATTCTGCCTAGGTATCTAATGGCAAAATTTGAAAGTTTTCTTTAAGTTCACTCCATATGACTTGAACTACCAATTCTACCCAGGGCATTTGTATAGATGGACCTGGGGAATCAAACCAATAGAACTGGTGGTTCTACCGCGGTAGCTGACCAGGCTTTCTCAGATACACCAGAGGAGATGACGCTGCCTTCCTTCCTACTCAGCCTGGGCTTGTAACACTCATGATTATGCCTCCCAGTGAACTTAACTCTTAACTTTCAAATCTAAACAGGATCTGTTCCTGATCTAATTATTGATTTATGGGTTTCATGATTTCATTCTTCTCTATGTCCTGTAGACGTACAGTTATGTCACTGTGGCTGAATAGAATCACAAAATCCTAAAGAGCAAGGTCTGTGTATCCTTTTGAGAAACAAAACTGCATTCAAACAGACTTTTGCTCATAGAATAAGTTCAAAACAAATAAGGAATAACAGTTTAAATTTAGAAACACTTGTCCCACTAATAACTAAAAGATGTAATAAACCCTCGAGAAAGTAGTAAATACGCTGAGTTAGGAAAGCCCTGCATAGGTTTGCTTGGAAGCCTGAACTGTAATTTCAATATGAACTCGTAGATTGCAGTATTTTTAATATTACCATAGCAAAACAATGTAAATTTACTAAAACACTGCAATCTGTGCAATCGTAACTGAAAAAGTTAATGTGATTATTCTGACCAGAATGGACAGATGTGGAAGCTTAAAGGTGAACTGATGGGCCAATGAGGCTAATTAAGAATCTTTAAATGCTCCACTGTTATATAACATTAATAGCTGATAGCACTGGGGTGTCCAAACTTTCTATGCCATGGTAGTTAGTATCTGGAGGTAAGTTGCTGCCAAAAGCACATCTATGTCACGGTTTAGCTCTTGGGGAATAGCACAGCACCTCTGGCAGGTCAATGCTGTCAGCCAGCTCATTCCCCTCTGCCTTCTGCCAGGAAGGTCTGCCCTAAGGGTGGTCTTTTCTTCTGGTTCTTAACTTATGTTCCCTGCTTTCTCTGGGAAATGGACTGTGTCTATCTGCACCTTCTCTTCTGAATCACATTATAGATATGGTCAGCAATATAGAGCTCTTCTTGTGAAATACCTTTATATCAAAACTAAGCACTTTATTCCCAGTAATATCACTATTTACAGAACCCAAAAGGCAAAACCTGTATCACCTGTGAACACCTGTACGACCTTATCACCCTCGGCACGGAAGAGTACAATGAATGAGGGTCTGTCACGGAATTGATCCTACCTGAGAATCTGGAACACCTTCGGCTTCTGTTACAGTTACGTGTTTGTCACTGTTTTCTTCATCTTGTTCAATTGCTAA